ACTACTACTACTACTACTGCTACAACGACGGTTACACCCACTACCGCTATTACTATTACTACGACTACTACTACTACTACTACTATGACCACTTCGGCGGCTACCACTACTACTACTACCACAACTACTGCTACTACTACTACTACTACTACTCCTACGACTACTGCTACTACTACTACTACGACTACTACTTCTACTGCCACTACTACTACTACTACGACTACTACTACGACTACTACTACTACTACTACTACTATTACTACTACAACTACGACTACTACTACTACCACTATTACTACTATACTAGGAACTAGCACACTACTACAATACTACTACATACTACGACTACTTTTACTACTACTACTACTCAATACTACTTACTACTACCACTACACTAATACTACTTACTGCTACTACTACTACTACTACTTACCACCACTACTAATACTATCTACTTACTACTACTACTACTTACTACTACTACAACAAATACTACTTACTTACTTCTGCTACGACTATACTACTCTTCTACACTTTATGATACTCTACGACGCACCCTATAGACTACGAGAACTCTACTTTTACTACTTACTACTTACTGCTCCTACTACTACTACGACTTTTACTTTTAATACTACTTACTACTACTACTATAAGACGCTACTGCGGATTACTTACTATACTGACTACTCACGGCGCCCTACTACGACTATACACTAGTACGACTACTGATACTACTACTATACTACAATACTACTACGATAGACTACGATACGACTACTACTAGACTACGACGGCTACTACTACTACTACTACACTACTACTACTACTACTACTACTACTACGACACGACTACTACTTACATATCACTACTCCACTACTACTACTACTACATAACTACTATACTACTACTACGATACTAATACTACTACACTTACGACTACTACTACTAAATACTGCTACTGCTACTTACGACTGCTACTGCTACTACTATACTACTACTACTAATCCTACTACTTCTACACCACTACACTACTACTATACTAAGGCTACTACTACTACTGCTACGATACTACTCTATACTACTACGACTACTACTACTACTACTACTACTACTACTACGACTACTACTACTACTACTACTACTACTACGACTACTACTGCTACTACTACTACGACGACGACGACGACGACGACGACGACGACGACGACGACGACGACTACTATTTTTACACCTGCAACTACTACAACTCCTACTACTAGTGCCATTACGACGACTACTACTACTACTACTACCACTACTACTACCACTGCTAGTAGTACTACTACTACGACTTCTACTACGAGCCTTACTACTACTTTTACTACTACTTTTACTACTACTTTTACTACTGCTACTTCTACTACTACTACTACTACTACTACTACTACTACTACTACTACTACTACTACTACAACTACACTACCACTACCACTACCACTACCACTGCTGCTACCACTACACTAACCACTGCCAGTATCCACTACCACTACCACTACCACTACTACTACTACTACTACTACTACTACTACTTCTACTACTACTACTACTTCTACTAGTACTACTACTACTACTACTACTACTACTACTACCACTACTGTACTACTAGTACTACTACTACTACTACTACTACTACTTCTACTACTACGACGGCTACTACTACTACTACTACTACTACTACTACTACTACTCTTACTACTACTACTACTACTACTACTACTACTACTACTACTACTACTACTACTACTACTACTACTAACTTCTACTACGGCGACTACTATTACTACTACTACTACTACTACTACTACTACTACTTTTACTACTACTTCTATTACGACTTGTAAGAATACGACTACTGCTGCTAGTGCTACTGCTACTGGTATTACTGCGATGATCGCATTGCGTCCGCTGTGGGTTCCCGCGCCAATCGCCTGACGACATGAAGACATGAAGACATGATGGTCTCAACCTGGGGACCGGGGCCCCCTCAGAGCGCCAAAATGAGGCCAAAACCGTAGTAAAATCAATGATTTTGGCTTTCAAGAAGAGCAGAGGGGGCAAAGTGGTTCCCCCCGTCGGGGCCAGAATCCTCGTGAGGGTCGTCGTTTTTTGGCCCTTCCAGGAGTCAAAAAAGACCCCCCTGACCACGCTCGGCCCGCCCTCTCCAGGTCCAGGGGGAGGGGGTAGGGGGAGGGGTAAACCCCTCCCCGAAGGGGAAGAAGGGGGGTTGAGGACAGAGCGGGCTCTCTAAACCACTCACGCCCAAAGGGCTGGTGGGATTTCCGCCTTATCGTTTCGCATCGTTTGGGGTGCATTTTGTTTTTGAGGCGGAGAATCAATCAGTGCACGGCGGATCTGGAGTCAGGGTCGCCATCGAGTTGTTCACCTCGCTCGTCGCTGCCTCCTCGCCCCCGCTCCGCCCCCGAATCGCGACGGGAGGTTTTTGCCACGCTTTCGCCTCCCAGGGCCCTCGCTGGGCCCCGGGACCGCCAAGAAGCGACCCGGGATGAAAAGCTGGCGCTAGGGAAGGGGTCCAGACCTGCTGGGGGCCACGTCGCGGCACAAGTTGCGACGTCGGAGTTTTGAGAGCCTCGCCGAGAGCGTTCCCGGGGGGGGGGCCCGATCGTCCCGAACGGCCGCCAGAGAGCCGAGTTATGACCCGAACGCCAGGGGGCGACGCTAGGTGGGGGGATAAGCTCAGGGGGGGACGCATCGACCCCCGATGGCCCATTGACCGCCGATAAGGGCCCGACAGCCCCCCCCCGCCAGGAAGGTGCGGATCCGCCATCGGGGGTCTATCGCTGATCTGTCGGCGAAAAGTCGCCGATGCCAGGTCGATGTTTCCCCTCCCCTGAGCCGCCCCTCTTTTGTGGTCCCCGGGTCATAACTCGGGCCTTCGGCGGCCGTTCGGGGCGATCCCGGAGACCCCTCCGTCCCCTCCTTCTCCTCCCTCTCCTCCTCCTCCTCCTCCTTCTCCTCCTCTTGCCTCCTCCTCCTCCTCCTCCTCCTCCTCATTATGTTCCTCCTCCTCCCCCTCCTCCTCCTCCTCCTCCTCCTCCAGCTACTGACGCCGAGAGGGACGGCCTCCAGATCCTGACAGCATGCCCAAGATATGCTATCCCGAATGCGGTCCTGTTCCAGTTTAAGAATATCTTCAGCAACAGCTGGAGTGCTCGCTCCTTGTGGCACGAAGGTCGAGCTGCACTATACAGGAATGCCGCAAGGTCTCCGATCTTTTAGGACTGTAAATCGGAGATGGAGGAGGTACTGGAGGGGGATGACCTTATCTTGGGATGGAGGTTCAACAAGTTTTATCAGCACTCCCCCCTGAAGCAGATGATTGATTTGTATAATTATGTATGGAGTCTCCCTTGGAATATCCAGAATCGCCCGTGGGAAGATGGTGTTCTCGAATGTCCGAAGCTCCAGAGAGAGCTCAAAAAAGTCTTCCACGGTCTCTTCCCGTTTGAATCCCTGCAGGAGAAGATAGGTGCCCGTCTCAGGTACTGGAACGCTCACATCACGCCCGACCAGATATCTGTGGCTATTCTACGTTTGTGCATGCTGGGTCACAAATACCCCTGCTTCATTGGTCTTAGTATCCTCAGATGTATGTGCAATGTTATGAATACCTCTCGTCGTTATCGTCAAGCGTGCAAAGGCTGTCGCTTCGGATGTAGTGGTGCTGATGATATCCTACATTACTTTTCGTGCCCTCATGTTATTCCTGTAGTGAAGCGTCTCCTCCCCTCTCTTCCTGACTGGTGGGGTAATTGTGACCGTAGGGCGTGCTTTGAAATGTACTCTAGAGAGTACTCTTGCACTGACGAATTTCATGCCACTGCTGTCGCTGCTGACCTAGTGCTTACTAGCTTCAATAATTTACGCGCTCGTGATTTATTTTCTCACCCTCGAGGGGTCAAATTCCTGGAGGGTAGGCTGCGCCTGTCGGCGACGAGGTGTGCTGGAGTGAGGACTCTAACGCACTGAGGAAGGGTGGCCAGGCTGATCGCCTGGCTGGCGGACGAATTCGGCGCGCCTCAGGGAGCGCGTATCTCTCCTCCTCCTCCTCCTCCTCCTCCTCCTCCTCCTCCTCCTCCTCCTCCCCCTTCCTCCTCCGCCCTCCACCTCCTCCTCCTCCTCCTCCTCCTCCTCCTGTTCCTCCTCCTCCTGCCCCTCTTCCTCCTCCTCCTCCTCCTCCTCCTCCTCATCCTCATCCTTATCCTCATCCTTCTCCTCTCCCTCCTCCTCCTCATCCTCCTCCTCCTCCTCCTCCTTCTCGTTTCCGTCCTCCGCCTCTCCTCGTCTCCTCCGCCCTCCACTCCTCCTCCTCCATCCGCCTCCTCCTCCTCCTCCACCTTCTCCTCCTCCTCCTAGCCTCCGCCTCCTCCTCCTCCTCATCCTTCTCCTTATCCTCTCCTCCTCGTGCTGTCCTCCTTCTCTTGCCTCCTCCTCCTCCGCCCTCCCTTCCTCCTCCACTCCTCCTCCTTCACCTTCGCCTCTGCTCCGCCCCGCTCTCCTTACGTGCCCTTTTCCCGCCCTGTCCTCCCTCCTCTTTCCTTCTCCTCTTTCCGCCTTCCTCCTCTTCCTCCTCTTCCTCCTCCTCCTCCCCTTCCTCCTCCTCCTTTTCTCCTCCTTTTCTCCTCCTCCTCCTCTCCCTTCTCCTCCTCCTCCTCCTCCTCCTCCTCCTCCTCCTGCTCCTCGTTCCTCCTCCTCCTCATCCCCGTCCTCTTCTTCCTCCTCCTCCTCCTCCTTCCCATCCTTTTGCTCCTCCTCTTCCTCCTCCTCCTCCACTTCCTCTTGTCCCTTTTCCTGCTCCCTATACTCCCTCTGCTCTCCGCCTACGCCTCCTCCTCCCCCTCCTCCTCCTCCTCATCCTCCTCCTCCTCCTCCTTCTCCTCCTCCTCCTACCCCTCCGCCTCCTCCCATTTCCGTTCATGGATGGGGGGGCCCGAGCAAG